TATATATATATGTCATATAAAACAGTGCGCGACGGTGCAATGTAGCACCTGGCAAAAGCGTAATGAAGATAACGATAATATCACAGTATATAGTCAGTAAAATGTTGTACAGTAGTCGTACTGATCGGAATTATGAACAGCCCATCAGCCCATGAGCTATAATTATGATAGTTTACGGGTTTATGACATTATAGGACATTCGGTAGTGGCATTTATTGTCCGCTCAAAAGGCGCAATCATGAATGCCAGGGGCGTGTACAGGATTTGGACCAGGGCGGGTCTAACCGTAACCCAAACTAGCGAGCACGCGAAGGGGGGGGTCTGGGGGGCCCTCCCCCATAAATTTTTTGAAATTAGACCCTCTCAGATGCGTTTTCTGCGCGAGCAGGGGGGGGTCCGGACCCCCTGGACCCCCTGTACACGCCCCTGAATGCGTGATGTTGTTGGAACTAAAATGACAGTCACGTTTATACTGGCAGACGCAGAGGAGCACAGAGACAGAGAGCTAGATAAATGCGTAGATGATCAGATGAGTATTTATTTTGGAGTATTCGGCGACTCGGTAATTTAGAACAAATTGCTCGTGTATAGACAATGTTTGCACACGTATTCAGGAAGTATGACATGCGCGGGCGTTTTTGCGGTGCAAATGTTATAGAAAAATATAATCGGATTGTTCAGATATCAAGTACGCCTCCACGCAATCCTTCCTAATAATAATCATCCCTACAAACCCGGTGGCATATATCCGCATGTCTGAATGCGGTCGTGTCAGACTACAGGCTACTAACGCACGAAGGGTCGTTGTCGTAACAGGTACTACAGATATGTACCCGAGGTAGTTTTAGGTTGTTTAGTATTATGTTTATATTTCTATATGAGGTATGTTTGGGGTTAGGGTTAGGGTTAGAGTTAGGGTTAGGGCTAGGGTTAGGGTTAGGGTTAGTGTTAGGGTTAGGGTACACTTCTGTAGTACAAGTCTGGTACACTTTGTGTATACATATATGTACCTCGATCGGGTACATATCTGTAGTACCTGTTACGACAACGACCCCTTGAGCGCTACTAACACCAAGGAGGGGGTTCGGTATATCAAACATTCACAGCTGCTTGGCTTGCACCAGAAGATGAAAAGTGCAATGACCTTACCTGGCCTGCTGATTTCGCCATTACAACATGGCACTGATATGTTGTGCCACATACTGGTGCTCATAGGATCCATGCCCCCCAGGGTACTGCCGGAACGTACCCTGGTAACTATTTGATATGGTTAGGTTTAGGGTTAGGGTTAGGGAGTAGGCGTAGGCGACTCCCTAGACTCGTTAGTGGAGTAGGCGAGGTACGGTCCGGCATATTAGATAGTACCAGGGTACGTTCCGGTATACCGGACCGTACCCAGGGTACGTTTCGGCAGTACCCTGGGGGACATAGACCCTCTCAGCCATACTGGTCGTAGTCGGGGTTCCTGGTCTATCGTGCGCAGGATAGAAACCACGAATAATAATGTAGCAGAGTTCATTCTGCGTTGAAATTAGAAGGGATATTATACAACTTGTAGCGTGCCCAGAGGTGCGATGCAGAACACGCCTCATTTAGCTAACCATAGCATTTTCATACCCAACTCATTTCCGGTGATGCAATGTGGAAGCTTTCTCCTGGCAATGCTGAAAGCTGATAAACTGGTGGCAGCACCTAGCGGATGTAGCCCGCATTCCCGTGATGGATCAAAAACCAAGGAACAGTTCTGACGTTACAAACAAAAAACACACACTACTGCTTTCTCTCGCTCTCTCACTCTCTCTCTCTTTCTCTCTTTCTCTCTCTCTCTCTCTCTCTCTATCTATCTCTCTCTCTCTCTTCCATTCTGCATCTCACCTGCACCCAGCTACAGAGTTTGTCATGTGTTGTCGCGTCTGCTCTGTAGTGCTCTGCAGGAGACCTGCGGTACAGCGTACTGCGGTACAGGTGGAGCGTGTAGTGGCTTATCTCGACCGGCCGTTGACGCGGCGTGTGGACCAGCAACGCGAGACCAACTCGCTCATCCTACCCCTACTCGCTATAGGACCGACTCGCCCATCCTACCCCTCCTCGCTAGGACCGACTCGCTCATTCCTACCCCTACTCGCTAGGACCGACTCGCTTATCCTACCCCTACTCGCTAGGACCGACTCGCTCATCATGGGTGCATGTTGCTATCCCCCAAAAAATTAATCTATGGTGTGGGGACAGATATCATGATGCAAAACCCCTAACCCTAACCCTAACCCTAACCCTAACCCAATCCCTAACCCTAACCCTAACCCTAATCCTAACCCTAACCCTAACCCTAACACTAACTCTGACCCTAACCCTAATCCTAACACTATCCTAACACAAGTGCTGCCACGTTGCGGTAACCTCCCTCCACGCCCGGGGGATAGCATTACCCGCTCATCTTACACTCGCTAGGACCGACTCGCTCATCGTACCCCTACTCGCTAGGACCGATTCGCCCATTCCGATTGTATACGGAAACGGCCTAAAATCGATTAAACGAATCACGCTAATATGCAAGTTATCAGGAGTGAAGAATATTCTCTATTATTCACTCCTGAAGTTATCGTACAGAACCCACTGTAACTATAAATTCTGATCTCTTCGAATGCACGCTCGTAGTCTTCACAATCGCAGGCACTTGGAGCGTTTCAATAAAATATAATGCTAAATAAATACGAAATCGATTTACTACCGCTCATAGGGTCTATGACCCCCAGGGTACTGCTGGAACGTACCCTGGTCACTATTTGATATGGTTAGGGTTAGGATTAGGGTTAGGGTTAGTGTTACGGTTAGGGTTTGAGTTAGGGAGTAGGCGTAGGTGACTCCCTAGACTCGTTAGTGGAGTAGGCGAGGTACGGTCCGGCATATTAGATAGTACCAGGGTACGTTCCGGTATACCGGGCCGTACCCAGGGTACGTTCCGGCAGTACCCCGGGGGACATAGACCCTCTCAGCTTTACTACCAAAGTCTTAATGTTTCTCTACTCTCTTTCACCTATTATTGCCGAAAATTTGCTGTAAATGCCGTCCAAATGCTCATCTGCAACACACTGCATGTCACACGCTGGCCGCCGCACGCTAGCTGCTGCACACTGACATAAATATATAAATAAATTATTTTATTTATATATTCAATGATGTGAGGTCCGGAAAAAGACTTCAACAATCAAGTACGGGGTAGACGATTTATTTGTGAACACACAAAAAACCTCTAGGGAGCCAAGTATATGATCGGGCTAGATCATGCCACCGTAGAAATGACCACGCCAACTTCGTGGGCAACAAACTGCCCTGGGTCACACGATAACCTCGTAGATGTTGACTGATAGAAATTTCTAAGCATCAGAATGCTTCCTTCTGCTCTCTATCTGATCCAGCATGGTGGCCTAGTGCTGCCATCTGTTTATGACTACTGTAGTGGCCCTAGGGGTAGCCGCTACGAGAATTATGTGCGTGTGAATGCACTATTGTTTTTGTGGGATCATTTTTTGCTCCCGGTGGC